CGTCGCGGTGCGCTTCCGTGACCGCCAATCGCCTTTACCCCTCTGGTTGTCGTGGGAGAGCACTTGGGGTTTCTGGTTTCAGAAAACACCTAATCCGGTTTGGTTCCAACCGTTTGATTCATCTGTTTTGTTTGGTTTGGGTGGTTTGGTCTGGTTCTGTCGTTTTGTTCAAATAAGTTCGCTTGTTTGTTATGGCTGAGAAGAAATCAATCGTAACTTCTGAGGTGATCCCAATGAAAATCAATGTTCTTCATGGAAAATCAATGTTCGTCTTTTTTTGCGAAGTATTGATATGGACGATCACATAACTGAGGATCCGCCTAAGGATGAGAGCAAGAAAGCTTGGTTGCAGGATGATGCTCGACTGGTTCTGCAGATCAAGAATTCGATCGAGGGTGACATTATTGGCTTGGTCAATGAATGTGAGTATGTTAAAGAGTTACTTAAATATTTAGAATTCCTTTATTTTGGAAAAGGAAATGTTAGTCGAATATTTGAAATCTGCAAGCGCTTCTACCAACCTGAGTTTGGTGACCAATCTCTTACAAATTACTTTATGGAACACAAACGAATTTATGCAGAGTTTAATGCATTACTCCCAAATAGTAATGATGCAAAAGTTCGGCTTGCCCAACGCGAACAACTAGCAGTTATCAGTTTTCTTCTTGGTCTTCCACCTAGATTTGATGTGGCCAAAGACCAATTACTCTCTGGTTCGGAAATTCCAGCTTTAGAGGAGGCATTCGAGTACTTCGAGTTGAGAAGTCACAACCCGTCTTGTCATCTCAGTCTAATAGTGCTTTGGTTGGACGTAGTACAAATGCAAACAGAGGTAATACCTACCAAGGGAATTCCACGACTTCGAACGCTCAACGTTCTAGTGCTCCAAAGTCAAATTCAGGAGATATTATTTTTTGCAATTATTGCCATAAGCCTGGTCATACAAAACGAGAATGTAGAAAGCTATTGAATAGAGGTCAGAAAACACAGTCTGCCCATGTTGCATCTACTCCTGATAATGTTGGCAAGTTAGTTACAATTCCTACGGAAGAATTTGCTAAGTTCCAACAGTATCAAGAGTCATTGACGGCATCGTCCTCTAATCCGATTACCGCCATCGCTGAGTCAGGTAACACCAGTAAATGTCTTACTTCCTCCACATCAAAATGGGTCATTGACTCTGGTGCGACAAATCATATGTCAGGTAACCCTAACTTATTTGCTAATTTCTCCCCATCTGCATCTTTGCCTGATGTTACCATAGCAAATGACATAACTTCTCCTGTTCTTGGCTCTGGCACAGTTCATCTTTCCACATCCCTTTCACTAACATCTGTTTTAAATTTACCACAATTTTCTTTTAATTTGATCTCKGTTRGTAAACTCACTCGTGATCTYAATTGTTGTGTCTTATTCTTCCCYGGTTATTGCCTATTTCAGGATCTTACGACGAAGAAGACTATTGGTAAAGGGCGTGAATCCAATGACCTCTACACGTTTGATACACAAATACCTACARCCACTRTTTGCACTCGASTGCCAACTCCTTTCGAAGAACATTGTCGTTTKGGTCATCCATCTCTCTCCATGTTAAAGAGTCTTCGTCCTCAATTTCATASCKTGCATTCTTTAGATTGTGAGTCATGTCAATTTGCTAAGTTTCATCGTCTTAGTTTGTATCCTAGAGTCAATAAACGAGCTACTACCTTTTTTGAATTAGTTCATTCTGATGTTTGTGGTCCATGTCCTATTGAGTCCAAAGGTGGGTTTCAGTACTTTGTTACCTTTGTTGATGATTTTTCCCGTGTAACTTGGTTATATTTAATGAAACATCGTTCTGAGTTACTTTCTCATTTTCGCAACTTTCATGCTGAAATTCGAACTCAATTTGGTGGCTCTCTTAAAGTTCTACGAAGTGATAATGCTAAAGAATATTTGTCTGGAGCTCTTGGCTCTTATTTAAGTGAATATGGTATTCTTCACCAATCCTCTTGTATCGATACTCCGTCTCAAAATGGAGTTGCAGAAAGAAAAAATAGACATCTTCTCGAAACAGCAAGGGCCTTAATGTTTCAAATGCATGTTCCAAAATATTTTTGGGCCGATGCTATTTCGACGGCTTGCTTCCTGATTAATCGCATGCCTTCATCGGTTCTTAAGGGTGAGATACCTTATCGTACTCTATGTCCTATGCAACCTTTATTTCCTATTAAACCTAAAATATTTGGTTGCACCTGTTTTGTTCGTGATGTTCGCCCTCAGCTCACCAAATTGGACCCTAAGTCCTTGAAATGCATTTTCCTTGGTTATTCTCGTGTTCAAAAATGGTATCGATGTTATTGTGCTGATCTCAATAGATATCTTGTCTCTCCCGACGTTACATTCTTTGAAAATACTCCTTTTTCATCATCTTTGAGTACTAGTCAGGGGGAGAGTTCACAAGAAGATGATGACTTTCTTGTATATTTCATTGTCTCTCCTTCCACTGAAGAGCTTCCTAGCAATACATCTTCCTATGTGTCTGATCCTTCTCTTCCCACCATTACTCAAGTTTATTCTCGTCGGCAACCTCCTACGGACTCATGCCCTATACCAGCATCTTCTTCGCCCGAGGATCCAGGAACAAGTGATGACCTTCCAATTGCTCTTAGAAAAGGTAAGCGTAAATGTAATTATCTTGTTTCTT